TTCGGCGCATGACAAATACCCGGCTGAAGAGCTTACAATGAAGGAGCAAAACAAGACTCTCAAGTCACAAGTCGAGAACTACGAAAGCCAGATCAAGTCGTACAAGGAGCGCAGCCGAACTCTAGAGAACCGCCAGAGAGAGCTGCAGGCCGAGGCAAACCAGGCTGGCATCACTGCTGCCAAACTCAGCCAGATGGAAGACGAGTACAAGAAGCTACAACTGAGCTACGACGAAAGCAATGCGAAGATGCGACATCTCCAAGAAGAGGAAAAGGAGCTCCGTGCTTCACTCAAGAGGACTACCGAGGATCTCGAACAATCCAAGAGGCGAAGCAATGTCACCGAGACGGAGAAGATGTCTTTGAGACAGCAGCTCGCGGAATTGCAGGAGCAAGTGGAGCTGATGAAGCGCTCCGGTCCCATCAATGGCGAGTTGTCCAATGGTCACCACCCCATTGCGGCCAGCAATCTCATCAACCTTGTGGCCTCGAAGAAGCCAAAGAGGCGAAGCGCAGGGCCCGACACTCGCGACTTGGACCGTTTCAGCCAGCAATACAATCCAAGGCCTGTTTCGATGGCCGTTGGTACAACTGCTCACAGACAGAACCTCTCTGGCTCGACGTTTGCTCAGCTCGATAACGTCGAACTTGAGCTTGAGAACATTCTCGCTGAAGAGGATATGCTCAACGATGAAGTTACGCTTGGTCTCATCAAGAATCTGAAGATCCCCTCACCCACGACCACGCCTCCTCCCACTGACAAGGAGGTTCTGTTCCCAGCTTACCTCATCAACCTCGTCACCTCCGAGATGTGGAACAACGGTTTTGTCAAGGAGTCTGAGCGCTTCCTCGCCAACGTTATGCAGTCGATTCAACAGGAAGTCATGCAACACGACTCGGACGATGCGATCAACCCTGGTGCCTTTTGGCTGTCCAACGTACACGAGATGCTGTCCTTTGTCTTCCTCGCAGAAGATTGGTATGAGCAACAGAAGACTGACAACTACGAGTATGATCGCCTGTTAGAGATTGTCAAACACGACTTGGAGAGTCTCGAGTTCAACATCTACCATACCTGGATGAAGGTACTCAAGAAGAAGCTACACAAGATGATCATTCCCGCCATCATCGAGTCGCAATCTCTTCCTGGTTTCGTGACGAACGAGAGCAGTCGTTTCCTCGGCAAACTGCTTCAGGGTAGCAACACACCTGCCTGGAGTATGGACAACCTTCTCAGCCTCTTGAACAGTGTCTACAAGGCCATGAAGGCATACTACCTCGAGGACTCGATCATCACACAATGTGTTACTGAGCTATTGCGCCTTGTCGGTGTCACTGCTTTCAACGACCTTCTCATGCGTCGCAACTTCCTCTCATGGAAGCGCGGCCTCCAAATCAACTACAACATTACGCGCATTGAAGAATGGTGCAAGTCACACGACATGCCAGAGGGCACTCTGCAGCTCGAGCATCTGATGCAGGCCACTAAGCTGCTTCAGCTGAAGAAGGCAACACTCAACGACATTGAGATTATTCAGGATATCTGCTGGATGCTAAGTCCCAACCAGATCCAGAAGCTGCTCAATCAGTATCTCGTAGCCGACTACGAGCAGCCCATCAATGGCGAAATCATGAAGGCTGTGGCATCGAGAGTGACGGAGAAAAGCGATGTGCTCTTGTTGACCGCCGTAGATATGGAGGACAGCGGTCCCTATGAAATCGCAGAGCCAAGAGTCATCACTGCATTGGAAACGTACACGCCATCTTGTAAGCTCACATGGCCAGCCAGCCAACACTTGAGTACGGTCATGAATGCTGACAAAACATCAGGGCTACAAACACCCCGTCTGAAGCGTCTTGCCGAGATCGTATCTCAGCAAGCCATCGCGCAGCAGGAGAAAATGGAATTTGACGACCCATCCATGAACGGTGACGGAGGAATGAACGGACATGGGACGATTGAAGAAGGCATCGAGGCATAGATAATGAGCAAGCGCATCTGCATATTGGACTAGGTTGATCGTTTTTGACAGCCTTTGAGACACGATGAGACGACCAGAACGGAGATCTTGTAGTTGTACCGTGTTTGCGTCTGTCTAGCTGGTATGGGGAGGCAAACGCGGACTCGGCGCAGGCATGACATGTTGGGTATTTAATGAGGAATTTGAAGTTTTTCTGTACTTGACCGTTGAGCCCTTGGGCATACTTTTGTGTTAATGCTATGCATACAGATAGATGGTGGATGAATGACCCATGTTTCAAAAGTCCGCGTGGCCATTGAACCGCTTTGGCGAGGTTGAAGGGGGGGCTTCATCTCAAGTTTAGGTAACATCGTGTTAGACAGTTGGATGATGTTAGCTAACGCCGCGTATGCGATTGCTCACAGCCCACAGACCATTCGAAGATGGGATGCCCAGACGGATGAGAAGCCGGTCGTGAGTGGGACCAAAGCCTTTTCGTGTGGAAGCAACTGACTCTCCACGCCCTTTGACATGACCTTCTTACCTAAACTTCACGCTGCTGCCTAGAAAAGGCGGCCATTGACCTCTCTGAGCGGGGCGGCAGACAGGTGGGAGAGAGAGAGAGAGTTGGAAGACGGCAAGCTGGAGTCTGGAGATGGACGGAGGTGAAAAGGGTCTCTTGTCGGTAAGAACCCTCCGCCGAACCAGGCTCTCGGGGTCCAATATCAACCGCAGCGGGCCGTGACTAGACTATTTATGGACTTTGGCTGGCACCTGCTGCCCGCCCCCCCCCAACAGCCACGGCCAAGCCACCGCCCAAGCTGACGTTTCCCCTTGCAGCCGATTGTACAATGCACTGAACACAGTACATGTGAACATACCACGTTGTCAGATCGGAAGCTTCATCTCCTTCGATGTAGACCTTTGTTCCCATGGCTATCGCTCCGTTTCCCTTTATATAACACCGTGCGCCGCCTGCGGTGATTACCACTGTGTTTCCCATCTTTACCTTGGACATTGCGCCCATCTTTTGTTTCAAATCAACACCCAATGCGACTCTACCGGCCCTCGTCAAGTTGAAGCGTTTGTTCAAAAGTTCCCAGTAGCGCTTTTGTGCACGCGACCTGCAGCTATCCCCGACGGCAAAAGTGGGAAGCCTACATTGTTCACAATGGGAAGGGAGACAATGCCGTCTGCACAGCAATGGCAGGGTATGCCAGCCATCAAGGGCTCGAGTGAGAGTATGCGCATGGCCTTGCTCACAGCCTCGCTCATTGGATTACAGTACGTGTCTCCCGGACTCTACTCCACTGGTTGCACAAAGCAAGCTAATTCGAGTAATGTAGGTTCACATGGAATGTCGAAATGACTTACTGCACCCCCTACCTCCTCGAACTCGGCCTCACCAAGTCCAAAATCTCCCTCGTCTGGGTCGCAGGCCCCCTCTCCGGCCTGATTATGCAGCCCATTGTCGGCGTGGTCGCGGATCGCTGCACCTCCCGCTGGGGCCGTAGACGTCCTTTTATGTTCTGCGGTACCATTCTGGTGGCCATGTTCTTGCTACTGTTGGGCTGGACAAAGGAGGTCGTGCGGGCATTCGCCACGGATCCGGAGACGATCCAGAGTGCAACGATATATCTTGCCGTCTTTAGCATTTACGGCATCGACTTTGCAATTAATGCGGTACAGGGGAGTTGCAGAGGCTTGATTGTGGATACACTGCCGATAGCGAAACAGCAGACTGGCAGTAGCTGGGCTAGCAGGATGGTTGCTGTGGGCTCTTTGATCGGGTATGGGGCTGGGGCAATCAATTTGAGGAGTGTGTTTGGGCCTATGCTGGGGGACACACAGTTCAAGCAGCTGACCGCTGTGGCGGCTATGACGCTGTGTATCGCGGTAGGGACGACGAGCTGGGCGGTCACGGAGAGGGTACTAGTAAGCGATGGGGGTGAGGAGGGCGAGAAGCTGGATTTGAAGGAGGTGATGGGCACCATTTCCCATACGGCGTTGAATTTGCCCAGGGGAATTCAGGCGATTTGCCATGTGCAGTTTTGGGCATGGATTGGTAGGTTCGATTCCTGGTCTCGAGGCAGCGTATGTGTCTATGTACTAACGACATGAACAGGATGGTTTCCCTTTCTCTTCTACAGCACAACATGGGTTGGTGAAGTCTATTTGCGCTACGATGCGCCTGCCGAAGTTAAGGAAGCAGCGGATTTGACGGGTAAAGTTGGGCGTATTGGTTCGACGGCGCTGATTGCCTTCTCCATCATCACATTTCTCATGTCTGTTCTCCTACCCTTCTTCGTCCGGAGCCCGCAGGACGAGAGCCCGAGTTTCACACCACGACCACCCAAGAGCATTGCCGGTCTCGTGATGGGACTGGAGAAGTACAAGCCCAGTCTCCTGACCGCTTGGACAATCAGCCATTGCATCTTTGCCTGTAGTATGATTATGGCCCCCTTTGTCAGGAGTCTACATGCAGCGACGTTGATCATCGCAGCTTGCGGAATGCAAGTACCTCTCTAGTTCCCATGTGAAGACAAATACAGAGAGAAGATGACTAACCTCCCACAGATCATGGTCCATAGCCTGCTGGGCCCCCTTTGCCTTTCTCGGCGTAGAAATCAACCGTCTCTCGTCATCCCCTTCACACACCTACCACCACCTCGGCCGCTCCTCCCTCGAACTCGAAGCCCCCGTGCCCCTCAGCCTGACGCAGGGCCTCGAAGACTCGTCCACATCGACCTCGTCCACGGGCGAATCCTCGGGAAAATACCTCGGCATCATGAACCTGTACACCACGCTCCCACAATTCGTCGGCACGGCCATTAGCTGGATCGTCTTTTCGATCCTGGAGCCGGGCAAGAGCCCGGAGCTGAGCGAGGGAGCGGTCGCGGAGACGGCGGCACGGAAGGATGGGCCGAATGCGATTGCGGTTTGTTTGTTTATTGGTGCTTGTTCGGCTTGTGTGGCGGTAGCGGCTACGAGGAGGTTGGGGAGGATACAGGGGAGATTGTGATGGCTTTTTGTTTGTTGGAGTGTTGCGACGATGGTCTTTTGGTCTTTTGAATTGTGCAATGCATAGCTAAAAGGCGGCCTCTGTCTGTTTGCATATCTCATCCTAGAAGTTGGAGGGAGGAATCGGTGTAGATTTTTCCCTGTGGTTCGATATACCCATGCATTAGAACATCATTGCATTGTTAGTCCAAAGAATGAATGACTTAGTCTCTACTGCTGATTTACTCATGATGACAAAAAAGAAGAAGAAGCAAGGAAAACTAGAGCTCCTGTTTTTGTTTCTTCTCCCCCCCCCCAAGTGGAGGGTTTGGTCATGGCAGCCAGCAGACCACCCTCGCCACCAGACTTTGGTACGCTATACGCTGCGGACGTGCCCAAGATACTGTAGGTAACCCCATCGTTCCAATGCAAGGTTTGCGCTTTCTGCTTTGGGGCAAGGCGCGATCAACGCCTGTCAGATTTTCTAGGGGGGGGGGGGAGACCCGCTTTGTTCTGGAAGGCAGGTGTGGCATGGATGAAGGGATCCTGTCTTGTCTTTGCAGACTGTGTGGTGCCTACTGTATGTATGATGGACTGCTCAGAGGAGAGCCATGGGCGAACTGGCCCGTCAGTGGGTTTTCTGGTTCGCGTTGGGGGGAGAGTATTCGATGAGGGTGGAGGTGTTCAAGTTGGTTGAAATGTTTTGTACATTGTCTCGGAGACTTGGGTAGTGCTGGTCTAGGGATGGGATGCCAGATGGGGATATGCCGAGACCATTCGATGATCCCCTTTCGCGACGATCTTTTTGGTCTTTGCCAGCTACTATGTTAGGTACTGTACTACTAGTTTGTTGTGCATGGCGAGGCCATGTCGGTAGAGTTTTTCTCCTTGTGCATGGTTGACAGGGCAGGCCGTTGAAGTGAGAGTTTTTTTTTCACTATTGTTTTGACTACAGTCGTCATAGCTACTCTACATAGCACACACACACACACACACACACACACACACGATAGCAGCAACTGATGGTGGTGGTTGGCTGGCTGGTTTGTTGGTTGGTGTGTTGGCTGTCTCCACTGCCAGTCATTGCTCTCATTGCATGGACGTGCCAATCCAATTCACATTCACGGCCAGATCAACCAAACGACCCAAAAGGACGAAGCGGTTGTCGTGGACACACAACTCTCTCCCCCAGCCCAAGTGCGTGCAGCGTGTATGTATATGTGTGTATGTATATATATGTGTGTGTGTGTGTGTGTGTGAGAGAGAGAGAGAGAGAGCTGGTGTCAACTTCTGTGACTGCCTTTTCCACACTAGCCGCAAACACGCTAGCCCCGTCTTCTGAGAGGGGGGAAACTAGTCCTACTAGGAGGAGGGGGGCAACGACCTTGCGTAGAGTAGCGGCTGCCCTTTCGCCCATCCTGCCGCCGAACATTTCTTGCAAAAGACGCTCCCATCAAAACCCTTTCCTCGCTCTCCTCAACAATCTTGCCACCCTGCATCTATCGCCCTCAGAAATCGCCAAGATGTCTGAGCCAATCCGTAATAAGAAGATGGACTCAATATCCGCTCCGTAAGTCGATTTTTCTTCTCTTCCGGGCCACAGCCAATTTTACTCGCCCACGGCCTCGACATACAAAACTACCAGCTGCTGTTGCTGTTGTTGCTGCTGCTGCTGCTGCTCCCCCCCCCCCGCCGCCGCCGCCATGGACGTTCCCTCTGCTAATAACCCGTCCAGCACCCCCCAGAACACACCTGCTAATGCTGCTCCCATATCGTCGCGCGCCCAGCAGCCGGGCGTCGGCACCATCAAGGAAGGTAGGTTGCCAAAATCCAAGGTTCCTTGCCCCTCGGACCCCGCGATAGGGCGTTGCCAAAGAGTCTTGACCGCTAATTCCATTTTCTGCGCAGAGGACATGGAGCGCACCGCTGCTGGTCTGTTTGCAGCCAACCCTGCGCTCGTGGCTATGATGCAAAATAAGCTGGGCTCGCTCGTCGGCCGCTCAAGTGGCTACATCGAGTCGCTGCCCGCCTCGGTCCGTCGCCGTGTGCCGGCCTGAAGGGTGTCCAGAAGGACCACTCGAAGCTCGAGGCAGAATTTCAGGAGGAGGTTCTGCAGCTCGAGAAGAAGTACTTTGCCAAGTTCACACCGCTTTACCAGACCCGTGCCAAGATTATCAACGGTCTCGAGGAGCCCTCAGAAGAGCAGGTCAAGATCGGCGAGCAGGTCGACGAGGACGATGAGGACGAGGATGCACCCGAGGCTGAGCTCAACAAGGATGAGGGCAAGGACGTCAAGGGTATCCCAGAGTTCTGGCTCAGCGCCATGAAGAACCAAATCTCGCTCGCCGAGATGATTACAGACCGCGACGAGGCCGCGCTCAAGCACCTCACTGACGTCCGTATGGAGTACCTGGACCGCCCTGGCTTCCGTCTGATCTTCGAGTTTGAGGAGAACGAATTCTTCACCAACAAGACCATCACCAAAACGTATTTCTATCAGGAGGAGAATGGCTATGGTGGCGACTTCATCTACGACCATGCTGAGGGTGACAAGATCGATTGGAAGGCAGGAAAGGACCTGACGGTCCGCATCGAGAGCAAGAAGCAGAGGAACAAGAGTGAGTTTGCTGGGCCCTTCGGCGACATGATATACTGACTGCGCATAGATACCAAGCAAACCCGCGTAGTCAAGAAGACTGTGCCGACGGAGTCATTCTTCAACTTCTTCGACCCACCCAAGCCTCCACAGGACGACGAGGAGGGTAGTGTCTCATCCGACATCGAGGAGCGCCTCGAGCTGGACTACCAGCTCGGTGAGGACATCAAGGAGAAGCTGATTCCTCGCGCCATTGACTGGTTCACCGGTGAGGCTCTTCAGTATGAGAATATTGAGGACTTTGACGAGGGTGAGTTCGAGGATGAGGACGATGAGGACGAGGATGAGCTCAGCGATGACCGTGACGAGGATGAGGAGTCTGACGATGAGGTATGTCTTGTCTGATTGTTGACCATGGATGCCTTTGCTAACATGCAACCCAGAATGATGGCACAAAACCCAAGCAGGAGGCTGCTGAGTGCAAGCAGAGCTAGGCTGTTGCTCTGCCAGAGATATAATACCCTTGACCTGAGAGTGTCTGGCTGCCTCGTTCCGATGTGGATGGGGGCGTCCAGATGCATTTGGGTGGCTCTGCTGAGCCGATTTGGTCGGATGACCCGAACTACCATGTTCCTGTATCCGTTCCGT